CGCTTTACCGCCGGGGTCCTCAGGGGTGGGACATCTAGAGTCGCCCCTTCCAGCCCCTCCTCTCCTGGCTCGGGCTCCGGCCGACATCGGGCAAACGTAGGACGTCTGGGGTTGTGCAGGTGGCCTCAGGGTGTAGATCTAGGTAGAGTCCTGCGGGCTGTTTCCGGCTTCCCTCCCCCGCCGCCAGAAAGTGCGGCGACCCCCTCCGCTGTCCGTCTGAGCTAGCACCCCTCCTCGTGCTGCTGCGGGCCTCCCTCCCACTGCCCAGCTGCCAGCACCCCTGCAACCCCAAGCACTGGGGAAGCAGAGGGACCCCAAACCAGCCCCGGGCACGGTGGCGGGAGCTGCACCTGGAAGGCAGCACGCTCCCGGGAGGATTGCTCAGATGTGGACTGATGATTCACTGGGTTTGAGGGGACCCCCAAAGCTGAGATGTGGTGTCCTTGCTTCCGGATTTGAGGCAGCGGCCCAATGCCTAAGCAAAGACTATCTAATTTGGCCTTAGGTCAGCAAAGGCTTCCTGAAGATCCTCAAGAAATAGAGTGCCCAGGGCCACTCTTGACAGCTTGCCCTTTACTGCTCATCCGCCCGCGGTGCGCAGGGTCCTGAGCTGGGGTTTATGGACTCCTCCCTCGTCTTCCTTCCTCATCCTTGCAATAGCCCCTCAAGCCCCTTGCTGTATCCATCACCCCCACGTAACAGGTGAGAATGCTGAGGCACAGACACAGTAAATCACTTGCCTCAAAGCACAAGGCTAGTGAGGAGTAGAGTCGGGATCTGAACTCAGGTCTCTGGTTTCAAGACTTTTCACTGTAGGGTATCATCATGCTGCCTCTATAATAACATTAGATATCTGAGGTGAAACGTGGTACAACTAAGGGTCCCCTTGGCTCATATGCCTGGCATTTTAGTAGGAAACTGAAATGTGTATGATATTTACTTTGCAGGGAAATAGAATCCAGGGCTATTGAGTGTAGTGGCCATTGTTGGGGTGAGGAGTGGGGTGGGGTCCACCTGGACTATGCCCAACATTGCCAAATCACTTTTCTGAGCCATGTGATACTGATAATTCATTCTCTCCTTTAGAAATTCCTACCCCTCTGTATCAACTATTCCTTCTCAGTAATTTTCTTGGCCTGTTTTGTTTTGTTTTTCTTCTCTTGTTGGTATTCCCTTGGCCTCAAAGCTCACATCTTCCAATACTCTTTGTAGATCATTTTATTCATGTTTCTTGCTTTACCCATCATCTTTACAATGGCACCTCCCAAATTCATCTTTTCAGCTTATGCCTAATCTGTAACTCCAGACCCAAATTATCAAATATTCTAATTCCTGCTGGCTAGTTCCAATGTATGCACCCACAGGCACCCATATCCAGCATTTCCAAACTCAGATTTATCATCTCTGTCCTTCCACGTGGTCTTGGTTCAGGTCTTTTCAGTTCCTTGGCTGGACAATATATTACCTTCCAAACTGGTCTTCCTGCCTCTGGAGCCCACCCACCCCTTGAAAGCTCAAAAATCTTAGCCTTTGGTGTCTTCAGAACTGACTGGAGAGAATAGACCTTTCTTTCTCCTTCCTTAGTACCCTGTACGTACCTGTAACGGAGCCCTTTGCCTATTGTGTAACTGCTGACTTATCTTTCTTCCCCTTTAGACCCGGAGCTTCTTCAGCACTGATTTGTCTTATCCATCTTTGTATTCCCTGGTCTGGCACATAGTAGGCCCTCCATAAATATTTGTCGTACCTAGTGACCTTGTAATGAATTGAAACTTTTTTTAGGACACAAGTTTTAAGTAGTAGCACTGTGCATAGCGCCATTTCACTACACTCTAAATCTAATCTGTCACTAGGTGAGTTAATTTGTGTGCGTTTGTGGGGAAGAAGCATTAGAATGTGAGTTTCGCAGGTGGCTGGAGATGAAGACTAATGATAAAATGAAAATAAGTTTTCCAAATTGGTGAGTTGATACTAAGGGTGTTTTTAAGGTTGATTTAAACATTCAGCCACGGCATAGTGACTCCCTTCTACTTTCCTTAGACTTCGCGTCAACGAATAAGCTGAGTACGCTCAACGAGAAGAGAAGCAGAGACAAAGTCATCATGGCTTCGGTGTCTACTCATGGAAATCAAGATAAAGGCCCCCATTTGCCACCACCAAGCAAGCAGGTATATTTTTAATTTGGACGTCTGCCAACTGAAGAGGAACATCATCCAGAACCTTCCTTAGACCTCATCCTTGGCCAGTCATCTTACTTTTTGCAGTCTGGCACTTTGTTGGATGGGCGCAGAGACAATGGAGTGGGGAAGGAAACTATTTTTCTAGCTTCCTTGAAAAGGAGCCTTTTCAGTTTTTACTTATAAAATCCTCTCTTTATTCTTCCCTGTTTAGAATCTAGCCTGACTCTTACATAGGCTGTCAAGGACTGAAGAGGTTTCCTTTAGCAGAGCAAAAGTCTTAACTGAATCTAACAGAATGATACATCATGCCTGCTTTTACATTTTTGTTACCAGGGCTAATCATACTGATCTATGCTGCTGACAGGTGTTCCTTAACCACTAAATTAGCGATCAGATTGAGAACCCTAGTGTTAACACGGGCACAATATTTCAAATTGTTCAGAAGGAATAGTATATGTTTCGGGGACACGTAAATGAAGCAAAGAGAAAGAATTGTGATGGGAAAATGGAGTTCATGTTCTCCAGCATCAACTTTCCCAGCTAAAATGAGTTTATGAAGGGGGGTGATGTTGAAGGAGCAAAGTTGAGGAGAGGTTAACAGACAAATGACACGCAGTCACAAGGAAAAGAATTTAGACACCCGAGTTGCCTCTGTGAAATAGAGAACCATGAAACATTTATGGCTCTACAGGAAAGGGTCACCAGAACTCCTCTGTGGAGACTGTGCGGGAGCACCGGTCTTGACTGCAGGACTCACAGCAAGTGTGGTAGTCAGGGTCCCTGAGTCTGGATGCATTTATATGTGTGTGTTTGGGACAAAGGAGGGAGGGAGATGTGCCCCACCCCTGCTGCAGCCATAGGCAGAACCAAGAGGAGATATTTACGCTGCGATAAGGAGTGCTTGCTGAGGAACTAAGGTAAGTGGAGGGTGAGAAGAGCTCCCTCTCTCACCCCGTGACTCACTCACCCTGACCACCATCAGCCAGGCGCTGTGCTGTGGGGAGTTATAGAGAAAGAAGACAGAGGTCACCTGCTTGAGTTGTTTATAGAACTCTGAAGGCATAGGGGCCGTGAGGTCTTTCCACCTGTCATCATGCATGTAAAGTGCTTGGCACAGTGCCTGGCCCGTGGAAAAGTACTCAAGAAACGGTGGCCGTCATCCACATTGTTATCTACTACAAAGAGTCCAAAAATGAATATTGGCAAAATCAGCAAGGCAAAACTCAAAAGTGAAAGAACTGCACCTCAAGAAAAACATAAAAAATCCAAGAGGTAAACGGCAGAGGTCCTACATAAATAATTCACAAACAAGGAGATACAAGTGTGACTAATATATTAAGGAGCAAATTAAATAAAATTTGTTTTTAAAAAATGAATGAAGGGCACCTGGGTGGCTCAGTTAGTTAAGCCTCCGACTTCGGCTCAGGTCATGATCTCACGGTTCGTGAGTTCAAGCCCCACATCGGGCTCTGTGCTGACAGCTCAGAGCCTGGAGCCTGCTTCGGATTCTGTATCTCCCTCTCTCTCTGCCTACCCCCCACTCATGCTCTGTCTCTTTCTCTGTCTCTCAAAAATAAACATTAAAAAAAATTTTTTTAAAAACGAATGAACCACCCAGAGGATGGAAAAAATTATTTTCAAATGCATATTTGGCAAGGGTCTATTATCCACAATATACAAAGAGCTTTTACAGCTCAACATCAAAGAGACAAACAGCCCAATTAGAAAAATGGGCGAAGGACTTAAATAGGTATTTCTCCAAGGAATATATGTGAATGGCCAACAAGCAAATGACTAGATGACCAATGTCATTGGTATTAGGGAAATGCAAATCAAAACCACAATGAGGTACCGTTCACAATCACTAGCATGACCATAAGTTAAAACAGAAACAATTTATTTAGCTTAAATTAATGAAATAATTCATATTGAGAATTTTAACGTGCTAATTTGAAAAGAACAAACAAAACAGAAAATGAGAAGTGTTGGCAAGGATGTGGAAAGGTGGGGACTCTCATACTTTGTTGGTGGGAAAACAGTTTGGCAGCTTCTCAGTAAGTTAAACATAGAATTACCGTATGGGTCAGAAGAATTGAAAACAGGTGTTCAAACAGTTTGTAGCAGCTCTATTCACAATAGCCGAAAGGTAGAAATGACCCAAATATCTATCAGTAGATGACTGGAGAAACAAAATGTGGTATATCCATGCAATGGGATGTTACTGAGCCACAAAACGGAATGAATTATTGACACGTGCTAGAATATGGATGAGCCATAAAAACATGCAAAGGGAGAAAAGAGAGCCACCAAAAGAAACATACTGTATGACACCACTTACATAAAACTACCCCAAACGGGCAAATCTGTGCAGCCAGAAAGCAGATTAGTGATCGCCAGGGAGCCAAGGATTGGAGGGAGCAGGAAATGAGGAGAGGCTCCTTAATGAGTATGGAATTTCCTTTGGGGGTGATGAAAAAGTTCTGGAATTAGTGGTTGTGGCTGCCCAACATTGTGGATGGACTCAGTGCCGTAGATTGTCTACTTTAAAATGGTTGAAATCGTAAGTATTATGTGTGTGTTACCACAATCAAAAAGCATTGAACTACCATATAACAAAAGAGCACAGCCCAGGTTCAGTTGAGGGATTGCCCCAACATTCGAGGAGAAGGGCGTTGTGGCTGAAGAATACGTAGATTCTCAAACACATTAGTTATCAGAGAAGTGCAGATAAGAATAAAATATTAACATTTATACCTATTGGACTGTCAACATTTAGAAAACTGGATAATGCCAAATATTCCAAGCTTTTGTTCTTTAACCTGCTTAGAGTCCAGCTTCACTGGCCCCTAGGTGGGGTCTGTAGGCATAGAGGAATATTCAAGACTGCTGGTGTGGGTAAGTACGATGCAGCCATTAGGGAGAGAACTCTAGCGAGACTTCGTCAAATCGGGAATACGCATGCCCTGTATTTTACTTCTAGGGGTATATCTGAGAAATATTCTCACAGGGGACTGTAAGGAGACATGCCCTGGTGAGGAAACATCCTCCAGGAAGCATCCTGGAGAATTAGCCAGCAGTTGGAACAGTGAACTAGATATGTAAGCAACATGGATGGATCTTAAAAGCATAGAGCTGAGTTGAAAACATTTAAGGGGCGCTTGGGTGGCTCAGTCGGTTAAGCTTCCAACTTTGGCTCAGGTCACGATCCACGGTTCATGGGTTCAAGCCCCGCATCGGGCTCTGTGCTGACAGCTCAGAGCCTGGAGCCTGCTTCAGATTCTGTGTCTCCCTCTCTCTCTCTGCCCCTCCCCTGCACACCCTCTGTATCTCTCAAAAATAAATAATAAACATTAAAAATATTTTTTAACATTTAAAGTACAATTAAATATACAAAACTTCCATTTGCATAAAAAAATGCATGCACCCATAACAGTGAACATTTTGCAGCAATGCATACCAACAAATGATCGGCATTAAGCCCCCAGAATGGCAGTGATAGAGGAGAATATGAGAATAGAGAATGGAAGTAAGAGTGAGTGAGTAATATATACCCACAAAAGGGGAAGGGTGGTATATGATGGGAGTTAGTCCAGATTATAGCATATCAACACAATAAAAAGAATAGATCTAGTAAAAGTGATCATTTAAACCATGTTGGTCATCCCATCAGAAATTACGTGCAGACCACTTATGAATGTGTAAAAAAGAAACCTGTTAAGATAGAGTATGATGACAAAAAGTCGTTTGTTGGAGAGTTCTTAGCCTAAAAATGCATACAGAAGTATAAACAGATGAATTGGAATGCAGATCTATAAATAGCTAACTTGTAGTACACTGCCCTGAATGGGATCCCAGAGATGGAAACATTGTGCTTTGGGGGAAATCTCTTCTTCACCCAGGAGGCAACTGGGTCTCAAGGACACCAGGCAGGCAAAGGGAGTGAGGAGCATTGCGGGCAGGATGAGCCACATGGACGGAAGCTGGGGGTAAGAAAGAAAATGTGGCCTCGACAGTGATTCATTGTGACCAGATATCTGCTCCATACTCGCGAGTCCATGAGTCACTCTGCTTCTGCAGCTGGGATGCTTTCCTTGCCTAAACCCACCCAGCGTTCCCAGTTGGAAGGCACTGGCTGAGACTGGTCATTACTCTGCTGGCAGCCACACAGGACACACGCTGTGTGACCTGAGTGAAGAGACCTCCCTGCCCTCCTCTAGAGAAAACAGCAGATGCTTTTCTAATGATTTCAGTCAACTCACCACATAACTTTCCTTGCAGAGTCTATTATTTTGTCCAAAATCAAAACTGCACATCCACAGAGGAGAGATTTCAAAGATTATCCGAGAGTGTCAAGAAGAAAGCTTCTGGAAGAGAGGTAATTGAACCCCTCTTAATCTTTGCTAACACCATATTTGCTGCAATAAACTGCCCAAATATCACAGTAGAATTATGGTAACGAATCCCTTTTGAGCAGAGACTGCATAATTCCCTGAAGAACTTTACATATCAGTGGCTGTTTCGATTCTAAATCCATATTGAAGCCCTTTTAAGTGCAGAGGTCATACCTGATGTAGGAACACCTTCCCTCACTTAGCAAGAAGTGATACACACTTTCCTCCGTGTGACCAAGGACGTGTGCCAAGAGTGTTATTTAGAATTTCTGGAAAGATTTGACCCTCCTACATTTCACTAAACTTTCATTGAGTTTGGAAATAATATCAGGTTCATTGCTTCATCCCAGAGCCAAGCACAGCGCTACACATATAGAAATTGCCTATTAAATATTTGTGGAATAAGAATAAATAAATAAATAAACATTAAAATGTTTGTGATACGAGTAAAAAGTGGCAACATTCCGTTAATAATAATTCTCTTACAATGTCTCTGAAATAACCTTTTCTGCTGATTCACTTACTTCCTCTTGCTGGGCCTGTCTTATATAAGGCGAGGGTGTGAATTCATGCTGCGCGTTAAGGTCTCTTCCAATTTAAAAAATTCATGATTTGTCATTTGAAAATGTCATAATAGAGCCCATAGATTTAGTCCCAGTGTTTTGCAGCATTGGGATGATTTATACTTTGAAATACACATTTTTTCATTTCTCAAATCATTCAAGTTCAATATCAATTGTTTTGGAATTGGAAGCAATACTTTAGAACTTGATATTTATTATATTTTATGATTCTTGATCGTACTCCTAGAAATTCACGTTTGTTTTTTGTTTTTTTTTTTTTTTACAACCTATGAATAAGTAATTTAAGTAAGCACTAGTAGATTAACATTTCAGTATGACCCATTTGTCTCCCATCAGGTAGATATGAGTGGAAACATTGGTTGCTATTTGATTTTTCTCTTGCTGGGAGGAGCTGGATGTTGATCAGTGCTCTCTGCTCTTGGAAGAAGTGTTGCGTTTTGATAGAACTAGATACTGCCTTTGCCAAACTAACTTGCCTGTTTTAAAAATCATAGCTCAGCACCGCCCATGTTTAACATGAATGTGATAATCTCATAATCTTCAGAACACAGACATATCCAAATTGTGACATATCCAAAATATCCTCTGAGACAAAAGCTGGGAACGGTCCTAGATCAGGTATGCCGGAGTTTAGTGTATTGTTTTTTAACTTTTCTGTAGGATTGAAATTTTCAAAAGACAGCTAAAGGCGACTCCCAGATTCAACGGCTAAGTGTGCACTCTCACTAAGATACCTTTGTCGTCTGTGGCGCTCAGCATCTGGTGCGTGGTGGGCGGTCCCTAAAGGCGGGTGTCAGAGCTGGAGTGGCACGGGGCTAGGTTTTGTCATGGTAATGCTGTGCCTCCCGGCTGAGTGACTGGAACAGATCTCAAGAAAATTCTTCATGCGGTGCTTAATAAATACTTGTTGAATAAGTAAAATAACAAATGACTAACACCTCGTTGCCAAGGTAGATAAGAGAAGAAAACACAGGCTAATTTCCCCTGACTTCTGGGTGAGGTGCCAAGTTTTAAACTAGCGATATTGAACCACATCTTTCTTTTGCAGCTCTGCCTTTTTCTCTTGTGAGCATGCTCGCCACCCAAGGACTAGTCCACCACGGTAAGATTCAGAATCAGTTATTGTTCGACTTGAGAGCCCAGGTTTCAGTGATGCTCCTGGTAGCTTTTTGGCACTTGGCATTTGTTTTTTGGTGGAAGATTTATGTATGCAGGTTTTTGCTTATTTTCAGCCTAAGCACCCCCTCTCCCGAAGATGTCCTAATCTCCAGAAGGAGTGGCTATATTAAGTTGCGTGGCAAAGGGAAATTAAAGTTGCAGACGAATTAAAGCTGTTCATCAGCTGACCTTAAAATAGAGAGATTATTGGGGCGCCTGGGTGGCTCAGTCCGTTAAGTATCCGACTTCGGCTCAGGTCATGATCTCGCAGTTTGTTGGTTTGAGCCCCGCGTCGGACTCTGTGCTGACAGCTCAGACCTGGAGCCTGCTTCATATTCTGTGTCTCCCTCTCTCTCTCTCAAAAATAAACATTAAAAAAATTTTTTTTAAATAGATTTTTCTGCATTATCTAGATGGGCCCAGTGTAATCAAGGGTCATTAAAAATGCAAGGGTGGATGAGAAGACGGAACCAGGGGGATGGCAGCACCAGACAGGCTCAGTTCCACACTGTTGGCTATGAAGACGGAGGAGGGGCCCAGGAGTCTGGGATGTGGCTGGCCTCTGGAAGCTGGAAACGAGAGAAACTCTAGAACTTCCAGAAAGGAATGCGGCCCTACTACTATCTTGATTTTAGCCCAGTGCTGTGGTCTGAATATTTGTGTCACCCCAAATTCACTTGTTGAACTCCTAAGGCCCAGTGTGATGGTATTAGGAAGGGGGCCTTGGGCAGGGGTGGAGCCATCATGAAGGGATTAGTGCCCTTGTAAAAGAGATCCCAGAGCTCCCCGGGCCCCTTTCATCACATAATGATGCAACAGGAAGTCTGCAATCCCGAAGAGGGCCCTCACCCAACCATGCTGGCACCTGATCTTGGACTTCAGCCTCCAGAACTGTGAGAAATAAATTTCTTTTGTTGCTAAGCCACCCAGTCTGCCATATTTTGGTGTAGCTGCCCAAATGGTCTGTCACCCAGTGAGACCCATTTTGAGCCTCTGAGCTCCAGAACTATAAGGTAACAAATTTGTGTTGCTTTAAACCACTGAGTTTGTGGTGAGTTGTTACAGCAGCCACAGGATACTGAGGCAGCGGCTTTCTCTGTGCCAGAGTCCCTGTGTCTCCCAGGGGCTCCAGGTATGGTTAGACAGATTGTTTCCCGCCCAGCTGTGCTCCAAGGAGGTAAGTCACACTGAAATCCACCCGAACTCTGTCCATCACGCCATTCCTCATGGCAAGAGGCTGCATGCAAGAGGCTACATCTGCCTAAGGAAGGGACCCTGTCTAATCTGAGCAACAGATCGAGAGAACTAGCAGCCGCCCAGCACCTCCCCACATAACCTCTTCCTGCCTCTTAGAGGTTTCCACTTTTCCTGTCTGTTCTCCCTTTCTCGCTCTCTTCTTTCTTCTGTCTCCATCTCACCAGAGCTTCCATAGACATTGCTTGGTCCCCAGATAACAAGAAGGTACCTGGCCTTGTTGAAGACCACTATACTAAACACTGCTGATTACCAGGATTTTTTTTTTTTTTTTTTTTTTTTTTTTAAAGTAGGCTCCATGCGCAGCACAGAGTGCAATGCGGGCTTGAACTCATAAGCCTGAGATCAAGACCTGAGCTGAGATCAAGTGGGACGCTTAACTGACTGAGCCACTCAGGTGCCCCAATTACCAGGATTTTTAAAAGACTATTTGTACCCAGCAAACATGAGGGAAAATGTTAAAATGTTCTAGTTCCTTTTGGGGTGTCAGAGACCACATATGTCACATATCCAGGAGAATCCCATTTCACTCAATATTATTCTTGTCTTTAAAAGTGATTTGTTAAATATAATTTCATTTTTATAACTTCAAGGTAGCCTTTTTATAGAAATATATTCATCAATCAGTAACAAGCCTTCATCAGACCACTTCTGACAACAAAAAAATACGGCCACGACATCTATAGGGGTTATGTTTTATAAATATTAAACTGCTTAAAATCTACAGTTTTCTGCATGTGTACAGATATACCTTTCCAGGTTTGTATATTAATTTTCCATGGTTGCTATAATAAATTACCACAAATATGGTGGCTTAAAACAATACAAATTGCTTATCTCGGGGTTTCAGAGGTCAGAAGTCCAAAATGGGTTTCACTGGGCTGAAATCAAAGTGTTGGCAATGCTGCATTCCT